CCAGATCACGTGTTCCCCCCTAAACCAATCACTGATTGGTTTGTGTGCTGGGACTCTCCTTCCCAGAGTATATTGCTGGTCCATACCTGAAAAAAAAAATTAGGGCTCCAGGAGCAAGGGAGAAGTGGGAAGTGGTTGACGGGCAGGCAATCAAGAGTGTGTCACAGCCTCAGTCTGGGGCTGAGCAGGTGGCATACCCAAGGCAAAGGCTCTGTGGCAGGAGGAGCTGCGGGGCCTGGAAGCAGGTCTGTGTGACTGGAGGAGAGAGAGCAGAGTGTGGTGGTATGTAGTCAGGCTGGAGGGCCGCTAAGATCATCATACAGGGCTTTCAACCATAGTAAGGTGTTTGTTTTTTTCTCTCATTTTTTTTCTTCGGTTTTTTTTTTTTTTTTTTTTTTTTTTTTTTTTTTTTTTTTTGAGGAGGTATTTCTTGATTCTGTGTACAATGAGAAGCTGGTACAGTGTTTCAAGAAATGAGGTGATGAATCCGATGAGCGAGGAGATCCATATGGCTGCAATGTAGAGTATAGAATAGAATACAGTAACAGCCTTCTAGTTTGGAGGTTTCTGCAGTATTTTAGGAGAGATGGTGGTATATTGGTTTAGGGCAGTGAGGCTGGAGATGCAAGAGATAATCTATATAATAAAAGCCTAAGCGATTGTTACAGCTGAAAGACCAGAACAACCGGTCACTATAATGCGCACTGACCACAAGAGGGCAGACGCTTAATGCTGGAGCTGCCCCCTGGTGGTCAGTGTGCTCCCACAGGGGGAGTGCCACTCAGCCAGAAACCAGGCTCACAGCTGGCAAGCGCAGCAGTGGTGGCAGGAGCCTCTCTTACCTCTGCTGCAGCACTAAGGAGCAGCAAGCTGAGCAGTAAGGAGCAGCGAGCAGGCGCATGGACATCCCCCAAGGGGTCCCAGACTGCGAGAGGGAACAAGCCAGGCTGAAGGGATTCCCCCCCTCCCCAGTGCACAAATTTCATGCACCAGGCATCTAGTTAGGGAATAAAAGCAGTGGGCCTTGCCCTAGCTGGTTTGGCTCAGTGGATAGAGAGTGAGCCTGCGGACTGAAGGGTCCTGGGTTCAATTCCGTGAGGGCATGCAGGAGGCAGCCAATCAAAGATTCTCTCTCATCATTGATGTTTCTATTGCTCCCTCTCCCTTCCTCTCTGAAATCAATAAAAAATATATATATATTTTTTTAAAAAGCAGTTAGCCTTGGTGACAGGGTGGTAAATTAAAGAAATGTGTCCTAGCCTTCCTTAATATGGCTCCTAGTCTTCTGGTTTGTGTAGCTAATAGGACAGCAGTGCTGAATCAGGAAACGTACACCAGATACCTAAATAATAATAATAGCAAATGCCGATGTACAGTCATGCGCCACTTAACGATAGGGATACATTCTGAGAAATGCATCATTAGGGATTTCAGCATTGTGTGAACATCATAGATTGCACTTACGCAAGTCTAGATGGTATAGCTTGCTACTATAATTGTATGTACTGTACTTTTTTTGTACAGTAGGTTTGTTTACAACAGCACCACCACAAACATGTGAGTAGTGCATTATGATGTTATAATGGCTATGATGTCCCTAGGTGAAAGGAATTTTTCAGCTTCATTATAATCTTATGGGACCACCATCATCTATGTGGTCTGTCATTGACCAAAACATCATTATGCAGCGCATAACTGTAATACCAACTCCTTTTATTCTCATAACAACCCTAAGAGATAGGTATTATTATTATTACCCTGTTTCACACATTCTAAAGACTAAGGGATCTCAAAATTCTAGCTCATAATAATAACACGTGACCTTAACTATTTACTCAGTTGCTTCAATGTAAAACTTGAAATTAATATAGTGCCTTAGAGACTCCCTGTTCTGTTTTCTTCCTTTCAAAGCCTTAACCTAGAAGATTAGGCATTGGACCAGGAAATAACTAGAGCTTGGGGGTGCCAACTATCTTTGCTAAGGACATGGGTCTCATACTTGCAGACCGTGGCTATGCCAAGGACTGGTGTCATAGAAAAAAGTCCCCAGATTGACATATTGGAAGAGAGAGAGATGGTGATTCCTGATATTTATTGAGCCCTTTATGGACACAGCACAGACTTCAGCTATTTATATGCCTATTATATCCTTTAATCTTCACGTTCATAAATTATGTGACCCTTTAACAGATGAGAAAAAATTAAGTTTAATGAGATTTTTAAAAAACTGGCCCAAGGTCACATAGCTAATAAGTGCAGAGCAGATTATTGACAGTGCTGAGATGTTTACCCATTTTACTACACCACTCTCGGGAAATAAAATATACAGGCAGTCCTCACTGTACCAGTATAGTGTTTTATTTCATTGTAAAGTGTTTTATTTCTTTGTAAAAAAAAATTAAACTATCGAAAACCACTGACTTATACACCTTAAATAGGTGAATTGGCTCTAGCTGGTTTGGCTCAGTGGATAGTGTGTCAGCCTGTGGACTGGTCAAGGTCACATGCCTGGGTTGCAGGCTTGATCCCAGTAGGAGGCATGCAGAAGGTAGCTGATCAATGATTCTCTCTCATCTTTGATGTTTTTATCTCTCTCTCTCCCTCTCCCTTCCTCTCTGAAATCAGTAAAAATATATATATTTAAAAATAAACAAATAAATGAATTGTATGGGATGTGAATCTCAATAAAGCTACTAAAAAACAGTTTCTCTAGAGTAGTTTAAAGGGCTTGCCTTCTTGTTCTCATGCAACTTACAATGCATCTTCTCTATGCCTTGGCAAATTGTCATACTTCTTTTAAGTTTGGATTACCGACCAACATTTTATCCTTTGGACATTAATTTTTTTTAATTGGTGAGAGAGAGAGAGAGAGAGAGAGAGAGAGAGAGAGAGAGAATGAATATCAATTTGTCAGTCCACTGATGTATGCATTCATTGGTTGCTTCTTGTGTGTGCCCTAACCTGGGATTGAGTTCACAACCTTGGTGTTTGCAACTGAGCTACCTGGCTAGGGCTTATCCTTTGGACTTTAAATGTTGCGTATATCTCAGAGTTCCTTTACTGTGAAGTGTCTTTTTTTGTCAGGGTCACTTCCTCTGGGACAGCTTCATCCCTTTTGTTACAGCCTCTTTCCTCACTTATGTTGATAAGTTCACTTTCGCCAGGTTCCTCTAGCTGTCTATGTGCAGTCTCTTGAATGATGGCTGCATCAACATCCCCACAGTCACCTATTTCTTCTAAAAGTCCATTTACATGGGATTTGAATTTCACTTATGGCATTATCACTTTTGTTACTTTTTTGGCCTATTCCCTCTTTTGATTTTTTTGTTGTTACTAGGGGACAAAGAGGCAACACAACTATTTACTTTGCTGTCTGTGTGTGAATTAAATAACAGACCCACAGTGACCAATCATTGACACACTTTGAAAGAAGTGACATGATTTGTCATAATCACCATACACATCTGTTATTTATGCAGTGATCTATGGACTGAAGGGCTAGCAGCAGAGTTTGTACATTATGCAATTACTCAATTATACTGTGGTAACTGAAATTTGAATCATGTGTTGGAGGACTGGGCTTATTCAACTAAATAGTGCTAATTAAAACTCATGCATGCCTAAATAATACAAAGGGAGCATGGCCTGT